CATGCTTCAATGCTTTTGTGAAAACCAGTCGAGAAATAGCCAAACTCATAAGGTTTTATTTCGGTGAAAGCATTCATTCTCTGTTTGTTGTTATTTCACTCGAATGAAAATCGTCGTTGTTGCATGCTGCATGCGAAAGGAATGCCGTTGTTTGTATGAAAACGACGATAATACGCGAATTACTGTAAGCCAGTAAAAAGTCCTATAGATATCGATTCTTCCGATCAAATTCTTTTTCTTTTGATTTATCAGCGGTCTGAGAATGCGACGAAACATTTTCAGTTCGTTTCTTCAACGTCTCATGACGTATTAAGTTGAGAACGTCAACGTTGAGTATAAATAAATAAATGTGAAAGTAACCAGCGAGCATTTATTAAAGTCAAATTCCTTACCGTGATCTGCATGGTTTTTGCTGTTTGGATTGACAGTTTGATACTTCCGGGATGGGATGGATTTTTGTGAGCAAATATTACGAGTACATAACGTTGCAAGATGATGGTTTTGTCTGAATGCATCGAGTGCATGCTGCGTTTTTGTGGTGCTTTGTAGTGCGTTACGCCTGGATGCTTATCGATGATTAATATGTTAGAATATGAATTGCGTTTGAACGATGAATTCGATACGTTCGTTTGATAAGAACTGATAAAAGTGTTGTTGCGTATCAGTCATTGAATCGTTATTGGCGTTCCTTGTTAGTCGATCGAATAAACGTACGTTTTGAAATTATGAATTATTTAGTAAATTATTCAAAATTTTAAGATTTCTTGTGCTAGTCGGTGATTGAAAGAAAGCAATTTGTATTGGTGCATTGAATAGATTGGATACTGGAAATTTATTTGATAGTAGAAAGATTTCGACTTCAACAAAAGAACTACCGCGTTGTGTGTGCGTGTATGTATTGAACCGCTGTATAGTTGAATTGTTTGATTGTATCGAAATGTGGTTCAAGTTCGCCCGCATATTTCAGTCTGGAAAAGTAAACTTTCTATAAATATTCGTAGTGCGCAAATCTTCTCATATTTATGCTTTCGTTTGCTTCTTTAAATGAAATGCGTCGAATTCTTATGAGTGTGTAATCATCGGAGGACATATGTTTGAGCTTTTTTTTGGGGGAGAGGAACTTTCTGAAGCAGAAAATTATTTGAGAGAATATCCAGTGTGAATAATGTGATAGTATCTTGTCTACAGGCAATAATCGACGGTAGTCATTCACAAGTTGAACGAGACGAAAGATCGTTAGCTGCGAGCATTAAGCAGTTGGTTGAAGGGTTCAGAACTGTGTCGAGTTGTCTTGGCTCAGATTCTTCGATTCCGTCATCTTTGTACGGCACAACTGTGGATTCAGACGGATACGAGGTTTCTTGCAGTGCTTCAGTTTTATCAATTATTTTGGCTGTTTTGCTCATAGACACACACTTAAGTTGTTCCATATTCTGAGGTGGTTGTGTTTCAAATAGTTTTTAAATTGGAAGGAGCATTCCTTCGTGAATGCATCTGAAGGTGTTACCCTTTGCAATGGTTGTTTATAAATTCTCGAAACATGCGAAAAATTGGTGAGGGATTAAAAAAGTG